AAGACAGAGATATCTAGAAGGGCCAGAGTGTCTTCAGGACTAAGGAACATCCTTAGGTCCCCGAAGAAGTCACTTTCTCTGTGGGCTGCTTAAAACAGGTGAAGGGATATCTCTCTGTAAATCCTCAGGGGCAAAACTTCACTGACCATACATAAAGTCCTTCTAGTGCCAGGTACCCAAAATTTTAGCAACGCCATACTTAATTTTGATATTTAAATGAGGCAATTTGCATTCCACACAAAGTAACCTGACCATAACAATATGCAATGCTTAAAAATAAGTTTCAAAGGGAAAAGTGTTTAAAAACCTGCAAATAAAAAGATGGGATAAAATGCAAATCAGCACTTTCATGTAGTTGGATCCTGCTTATCCACTCCCCCTTTGCAAGATAAATACTTAAATGAGAAAGTGACCCTTTCACCATGCTTCTCTCAGCCTTCTGAGAGACCTGATTGCAACTTCCCATGCTGGAGAGTGAAGCTGGTTGAATAAACACTACAGGAGGGGAAATAAATGTTATTCATGGCTTTTATACAGGCCTTTACACAATTTGTGCCGTAGAATTACCGTTTGCAAAAGGTAGAATAAGCCAGACTAACCTGATAACCTTACTTTTGGTAATTGTGGTTGAGCTTATCTGTCTGGATGCCAGGGAAATATCTATATCATGATATGAAATATGCATAGTTAAGCCAGAGAAGTTGGTAACAAATGCAAGTGGTACATGATGGATAAGGAACTGACTAAAAGCAAGCTGGCAGCAAGTTTTGCTGAATAGGAATGACCACCTGGAAGGAGGCTACAAGTGAAGTTTCCACAAGGACTGGTCTGTAGTTGGTTTTGAACCAGAAAGCTAATAGAAAGGTGTGAGTGCAGCACTGTCAATGCAGTGGAGGACTGGAATATTTTACAAATAACAGACAAGTTAGAAGACTGAAGCAACAGAAACAGAATGAAACCTTATAGTACAAAATACAGGGATGTGCACTTGGAAACATTTGCTGCAGACATTTAATTAATTGGTGTCTGCTGGAAATAGCAGCAGAGGAGGAGAAAGACTAAGTGATTAAGTCAGCTGCAGGATGACATCACCATGATGCAATCACAAAAAAAGCAAGTGTTATCATGAGATGTACCACAAACCGTAGCTCCCTGGATGCCACAATAAAGTAAAGGTGAGACCCCAGCTGAAATACTGCACATTTCTGGTGACCTTTTTCAGAAGAGTTGAATTCAAAAAGGAACTCCTGCAGCATTTATGTACATTTTGGGACTGTAACAATGTCTGAGGTCTGTGGTATCACAAAACAGCAGATGCAATTGCTATGTTCCATTTCTGGAACATATCATTTACACCCAGAAGGACTACGAAGATGAATGGAGAGCCTCCCTTACAAGAGGAGTCTTAAATGAGCTTGGCTTTTTCATTCTAGTAAAATGAAGGAGCCTCATCAGCATAGACATCAGAGAGGCAGAACTACTGAAGCAAAAGCCAATGTAGACACTTATTAAGATAAGCTGGTCGTGAGTATATTTAGGTTGGAAATCAGAAAAAGGTTTGTAATCATAAGAACATGAAGGTCAGAAACACCGAGAAAAAGATCTTAACTGGAATCTCAAGAGGCTGAATTTATGATGTGGGAATACCAAAATTTGCTGCTGCATCTTATGATTCTTAAACCAACTGCAAATAGGTTGTTTCGCCTTGAAATACGAGGTAAGAGTTGAATGAATTCACTGCAGAGGATAAAGGGAAAGAACAGCACACTCACCTGAAACAGCCAAAGTCATGGTGCAGGCACAGGAATTACATTGGACAGTGGGATCCTCTGACTCGAGCAGATCCAGAATTGGCTCAAGTAAACCCATTTGGACAACTAATTCTTTGTCAACTATTCATAAATTCAAGAAAAAATGGACAAACAGAAAAATAAACAGTTAACACCTTTGTGAAAAGAATATATCTTCCTTTGACTGCTTTGGGGGTCTATATTAGGATTACGCAAAATAAACCTAAGATGGAAACAGCCTGAAAGGCACTCACAGTCCCTAGCTTGGTTTGCTTGATTCCTCTTCAGACTCGTGAAAGAGTAAGAGATGTTCAGAGGTTCTAGTTCAGAAAGTCCCAAATATTTCTGCTAGCAATTCTGTTTTCAAACACAAGGTTCAATTTGGAAAGTGCAACTGCAGCTTTCCAATCGGTTCACAATTTACTCACCCCCCTTTTTTTCTGAAGCCTACCCTTAAAATATTAATTTTTACTTGTAAATAGGGACATGATATTATTTGTGGCAAGATCCTTAAAAGAAAAGAAAAAAGCTAGCTTCATTAAAGACTGACCCTGTCTTCTGTTGTTACAGGATAGTGTGGTGGAATACCTGTTGTGGCCCAGGTGCCAGGGAGTGCAGTAATAGATGCAACAAGGACTCCGCTGACAAGGTGTCGAGTGTTCATGCCCTGTCTGTTGACATAAACTTTATTGGGAAGTTTTTCATCTGTAGCTCCCAGATCCTATCTCAATTACATTTGCACTATTAGCTACAGAAGAAAGTGAATTCTATTAAACATTTAATTTTTTTTTAAATCTGCAAGCAGTTTAAGACCAAGGTCCAGTTAATAAATAACAAGAAAATGAGCACTGTCTCCTAGGCAGAGTTTATTTCTAAGAACTGTGTCTGTTGCTTGAAAAGGGTAAGTGGTGGGCTCTCGATTCAAGAATGAGAATAGTAGAGCTGTTCCCCCACCAGTTTGGGAATAATTTATCAGCCTTTGCACACAGATCCAAGATCTCTTACCACATGACATAACCTAGCTAGAGGGATCTGATATATGCTGGTGCCACCAGATGTGGTTTGCAGACGAAACCAGACTCACACCTGTCCTATCAGGAATACAAAAAAAGGAATTTGGATTTGTGTAGACCTGGGTGTGCAAATGTGCCCTCCTTCTGTCTGAGTCTGGCTGAAGAGATACTTTTTCACCTGAAGAGAGATGTGTTGTTAATTACTCACTATTTCCTTCCAGCAAGAAGTTGACAAGGGACAAGGAAGACATCTGCTGCACCTCCAGGTCAGCAGACCGTAGTAAGGCATAGAAGGGTTCCAGATGCTCCACAGGCAGGGGGACGTTCACTGCAGGAATGAGAGGAAATATTCAGGAATCACATCATTCACCGCAGCCACATTTTTCTCTTGTTGGCCTTAAGCCTCAGGTGCTACCATACATAGGCTGAGTGGTATTCCCCTTCATTTAAATTCCATTGCTACTAGAAAAACAGGGCAAGTTTCCTGAAAAGGTTTTGAATAATCAAATACTTTGAAAACACCATGGGAAGGGAAGCAATATGCCTCGCTACCAAAAAAGTCATTCCGCCTCATAGCAGGTCCTCATGTTGTGGCTATCTGCACTTTTTATCCAGCAAAAAATACATGGGATAAAGCTATCAAGCCAAGTGCCAGAATATTCTCCTTGAAGTAAATTTAAAACAAATAAATAAACAAATAAATCACAGCCTGCTTGTTGCTGGTATTTCTACCTTTTTGTAGGACCCAAACTTGCTGAAATTTTATTTATTTGGCATATCTAGGCTAACTTCTAACCTTTTACAAATTACCTCAGGAGCCAAGAGCTCCCACGGAATAGTTGGGACAAAGAAGAACGTTTCCTGCATAAATTTCCACCACAATTTGGCCTCTAGAGCTTTGCCCTCTTCCAAAAATTATATGATATAAAACCTTAAACGATCATTATGTCCATTTCCTTCCACCATATTTTGACTGTGTTGCTCTCAGGAGATTCAGTATAGACTGACTCTAACTACTTTGGGTTATGCTGAGTTTTACAGAAGTATTACAATTACATAAATGATAGTCTTTTATAATCATGACAGATATCTTGTCATAGCAAAACACAGAATGACTCTGCCCACACGACAATGACAACGTTTCCATTTTCCTTAGCATACAACATAGCATGAAAGAAAAAAAAAAAGAACTTTGATTAATGAATCAAAGAGAGTCTCACAGTTGGAAATAATACTTTTATTTATAACTACACGAAAATTTTCTAATGCACTGAGATAACTTACTGTGCTGACTCATATGCAAGTAATAGAGGGCAGCAGACTGCTGTAAACCTGGGTTTTCTGAAAAGGCTAAGGTCCTCAAGGCTTCCAGAGGGTCCTTTCCAAGCGGTGACATTTCAAAACCTAAAGATGTACAATGACAGCACAGACTCAATTACACCTGAAAAGGGTTAGTTTACAAAAAGAAATTAAAATTTACAGCAACCAAACACATAAGGATTTTTGTACTGCCACAACTCCATAGAGTCCATCTATCCTTGTTCATGTTCCCATGAGCAGAAGCAATAAATCAATCTGGAATAACCTGTCCTTGGCAATGCCTCTTGTGAAGCTCACAAAGCTAGTGATTGGAAGCAAGATAAATTATAACCTTTAGACACTTTTATGCTATCCATATAAATGCAGGTGTTCTTGTTCTCCATAAAAATCTTTATCTTTTCCTGAATCATAGAAGATCTGTGTTAAAATAATCTACTGAACATGGTGTTCTTAGTTATGAGCTATAGAAAGAGTATATATTTCCAACTTACTACATTTTAAGTTCACTGTGTTTTCTGTCCTGGGTATTACAATAAAGGATTTCAGGGAATAGCAACATGGATTGCAAATGGGCTTGCCTCAGGCTCAAATTTCTAGCATGAGTCTACCTGTTCTCGAGTATGATAGTTCCCCTATGAATAAACCAGATGTTCAGCAATAGCCACTAAGCAATAGCAGTCATGCATGACTTCTGTAAGTCACTGTATAATTTACTTATAATGTGTGGAATGGAGCAGCAGAGGAAAAAAAAAAAAAGGGCCATTGAACCAATGCTCAGTAGTATAAACTGTTGAAAAGGTAACATAGTATAAATTGACTGATGGAGCACACAATTATAAAATATATTTGCAGACAATAGATGAAAGCAGTGCATTCATGATTGAAATATGTCTATGAACAAGATCTATCTACTTTACCTCGCATGGGATAAAGAGATGCAAGGGATGTGAGGGGTGTCAAGAGTAGCAAACTCCTACCTTCAGGATTAGGTAAGTGGCCTTCACAGAACAACTGCTTCATATAAAGATCAATTTTGTTTAATAATTAACAATACACACAAAGGGAAGGACTAGCCAGCGTGTACAAGGTTTTAGAGAAAAACAAAAAATCTCTTCATGTTGTTTAAATCTGTTCCTTACACACTGACTATCTGAATCTCCCACATATCTCTGCATTTTTATTTGGGAGAGTGATAAAGTGGAAGCCACTCAAAATCTTCACCTGCTTACAATATTGAGAGTTTCCTGCCCCAGCTAACAGCTAAGTGTGATGATCAACCATGAAGTCTCTTTTTGCACCCAAACTGTCCAAATGTTGGCTCCCTGCTCATTATAATATTGTCCAGAACCGAGGATGGGCTTGTTCCATCTTGGAATAAAATACACAGGCAAGCACTAAAGTACGAGGGATGTGTCTTGGTTCGCTTTGTGAGGCTTCCCTGCCTCCATCTGTCTTGGCAGCAGGATTTGGCCACTCAGAGAATTAACCTTGGTTCTTCGTCCTGAGTGCTGTGTATCTTCTATCATGGACATAGGGAACCCCCCTGAGAGCAGACATTGCCATCTGTGCACAGCTGTCACAGAAGCTCTAGGGTCCCTGCTGCTGTACGCCAGCTCCTGAGGATCCAAGATGGACCAGCCTTTTGAAGATCCAGCTCAGAGAGGAAGGGATTTCTCAAGAAAACATACACTTAATTCTTTTCAGAAAGCACCAGTGGGTGCTGCAAAGGGCTGTTCTGGCCTCACCATTTTTCCCAGACCACCCCTTCCTTGCACCTGATCCATCAGCTGAGCTGGGATACTGCCAAGACGGTCTCTTACACAGTCAGGAGCATGCTAGCCTTTGGGAAAAAAAAAAAAATATCAGACCTGGAAGATCCCCACTGTACACCAAGCTGAAAGGTCTAGTCCTATTCTGCATATGGACTTCAGGATTTAGCCAGTGCTTAATGTGCAACAGTTAGTGAACAATATCAGCAGCACGGGACCCACCCCACATTCACAGGGTAATGACACCAGCTAATGCTAGCAGAGGCTAATTCACGCATGTTCCCAACAACCAGCGTCACAGCAATTATTCCAAAGGTTGTTCCATGACAGATCATTTCAAACAGCATTAACTGTGCTACACCAAGGAAAAGCATCTCTCCTGGTCCCCCTCACAAGATGGTTTTATGTCCACAAAAAAGCAAGTAAAGAAATAGTAGTTTGTATTCCACACCCTTCACACAAATGAAAGTAGAAAGCCATGCAATTTTGTGTAGTAGCTTTAGCCCAAGGTCGTTAAAGCAATATACCCAATTAGCTGTGAGACAAAGCAAAACCAAACAATCAACAGCCCCTGCCCAAGCTTGAGACAAGGAATGGTTTTTAGGTTGGACAACTGCCAAAACACACTCATCCAAGATGATATTCTGTGATGCAGGAATGAAGTAAAAAAAAAGTTTTCCTATTGATATTGTTGTATCCTAGGACAGGATAGAGAGGACATCACAAGTAGATAAACAGGGAAATTAGGGAGGTAGCCTGTAAAGCAGAGGAGATAGATAATGAGTTACAGATCAGCTTTGATTCAAGCAGAATCCTATTATTATGTTCAAGCCTTGTGTCCAAAATGTTTGCACAAAAGCCCTTAGGCAGACCAGTTGCTTGGAATCTGGGAGCCCAACAGCGCTTGTCCCGGGGTCACTTTGACCTTCCCCACATACAGCGCAGACACCCCCAGCGCAAGCCCAGGTGTGCTCCGGCCAGCGACATGGATGCGCACAACTCAGCCAGGGCCACACCGCGATTTGCCTGCTCACAGCTCGGCACCCATGTAGCATCCAGTGTCGGTACAGCCTGTTTCCAGCTTTGTGACCTCAGTGACTGACTTCAAAAAATGAACCTCAGTTACTAGAAGGCGTCACTTTTATGAAACGTATTTACAGGGGTTATGTATTAACAGTGGTGGCAGGGCAAGAAAGTGACTGACCATTTCTAGCTAGATCCAGCTGTTAGGCCACTTGAGCCCTTGGTGTCCCATACACAAAGAAAATGCTTTGTAGCTCTGCCCTTTCCTACATCACCAAGCTGCTTCCCGCCATGCCACAGCAGTTCAGCCAGCAATCTGTTTTCAACTCACAAAACAAATCTCCTTGCTCTTTCCCAGCCCTTTAGGAAAAAAAAAAAAAAGCCCAAGCCCTCTTACCTGTTTCAATATGCTGCAGAAACTCCTGTGCTGTCACCCTCTCATGAGGCTGCAGGATGGGCTTGTACAGCTGTCTGGCTTTAGAGCTGTTTTGTTTTAAGCAGGAGCATTTGCTTATCAGAGTTAAGCATTCCTTGATGCCATGCACCAAGTCGGAGGACATCCTCTGAACAAAGGCCACGAAGTCCCGCAGCAGCTGCACGCATCGTCCACACAGTTGACCCATTCTTGTTCCAACAGCAGCACAAAGCCAGAGGAAAAGGAATGAGATGGAAGAAAAGTTTCTTCTCAACTTGTCCACATTTTGCACTAACTTCCTGCCTCAGTGTTTGTCCTGCCTTACAGATGTTACCACCACACCGTGTACAGCTGCTATAAAGCAGACAAGCTTCTGCAACCAAAAAACTACATTGCGCAACAAGGCTGGTTTCTGCAGTTCTCCCAGAGTCTACAAATATTATTTAAAAGGCTGCACTGGAGCCACGTTCAAACACCCTCCCTTTGCTTGAAGAAAAATAAAATGATGACCTAAACACATTTCGTGGAGAACAAACAGGGTTTAACTCCTGGAGCATCCACCAAAGCCTTCACGAGGATAGAAAAGTTCTGGGATAATGGAAAAAGCAACCTCAGTTTTTGTAAGGCAGCTTTCCACATGAAAGGTAGGCACCACCTTGTCTGCATGTATACAAGCTGCAGCTGCCAATGGGAGAGGAAGATCAAAAAAAAAAAAAAAAAAAAAAAAAAAAGAGCACGCAAACAGGTTTTTCCAGTTGTTGCTGAAGCACAGACCAGAACAAAGGCCCTGTTGGGCAAACAGCTCATAACTCAGTCAACTGAGACTTTGCAAATAAGCAAGAATAGAAAACTGAAAAAAAAAAAAAATACAGTGGGCAAATGCATTTAGAACTGTGTTCTCCTCCTGTCAAGCAAATCCTGCAGAGTGGGCTGGATAAGGTGGCAATGGGAGGATGCAAAAATCATCTGCAGTTTTCATGCTGAAAAAGGAAGCAAAAGGAAAAAGAGCAGTTCTCTTTTTCCTCCATCCTTTTGCTTAATTCACCAGACTGGTGCATGTGCCCACCCTTGGCTGAACAGTTTTACGAATGACCTTGGTCTAATTAAAGTTGCATGAAGTCACATTTGTAATATTCTTGAGGTTTCCAGTAAAAGCTGGTTTGATTCAAGATCACCTTCTTTATGAAACCAGTAGGTACTGGTCTGCTGAGTGTTGATCACTTTTATTAACTTCTCTTTATCCATGGATTTGATGGATTTATTCTGACCATTGCATTTGATACATTTATTGGTAAGTTTTAGCCTCACTGTCCTTTAATAGATCTTAAGTTTCTAAATAACTGATGTTTGAAAATCAACCCTTTGTTCTGCACCCATCGCCAAACACTGATGAACAGGCTCAACTAAATCTCACCGGTCTGTCCAGCTACTGCTATTTCTTCTCTTACTTACACATGATGTAATTTTCCTAAACACAAATACCATGCAGCACAGCTAAACCCACCTACACCCATAAACCAAAAGGTACGAGACCTCTATTACACAATAATCTATTAATAACAATCCATTTCAAAGAATCAAGACTTTGATTTTTCTGGCTACTTCCTTAACCAGCTCTGCAAGCCCACTGAGTTCTGATCTCTATCCGCCGACTTCATATTATCAAAAGTGAAGTCAAGATGCCTATTTTCTCACCATGCCTTCTGGATCCTTTCAGTAGGGATCTTTTAAAATGTAGGGAACCCATGTGATTGCCAGGTCCTGCTTCTGCCACCACTTGCTCTTCACCTTTTGCTCATGATCTTCTACCCTTCAGCTTCCACCCTAAAAGCAGTGAGGTGGCAGATTCCTGCGAACCCATCGCACCTGCCTTCTGTCTCTTCCTCTGTCCTGCCTACAGAACTGTAAGGTTCAATTGTTGTGACATTTTTTTTAAGGTAATTTGAACTGTACTGCACGGAGATAAGAAAATGTTTCAATGAGACGCTTGTTAGTAATGACTGCACTTCCGTAACGTATACTTACTGAGCATTTCAAAATGTATTACAAACATTAAAACAGCTTTCCAATGTATCTGCAAGGAAGATATTCCCAAAATGGTTTAAAAATAAGTTTCAGAGGTGCTGAGCTCTTGTAACTCCATTTGGAATAAATGGGAGTTAAAGAAATGCACCACACCTGAAAATTAGGCTATAATTTGCTTAAAGGCATAAAACTCAGGTGTCCCAGTACTTAGTTTGATGATTCAGTCAGGAAATTGTTCTTCTTTGATTTGAAACCACTACTTGAAAGCCAGCGTAGAAGGCTGGTTGGTAGGTCTCCAGACCTCCTCTGCATTCACAATAGCTGCTGTAAAGGTAAAGGTTGCAGCCATAAACCCAATGTTTTGGATTCGTTTCATCACCTAGGTATGTTTCTTTATCTGATTGAACAAAATGCCAGCTCAAGACTGCAGAAGTAGAAGGGGAAAAAATTAGTAGTACCGTAACAGTGTTAAACCATTTTGCTTTTATTCTTCTAGAGAGCATGTACCAAATAGTAGAAGCCCCACACCCTGATTTTTTTTTCTAAAGGAAAAAAATTCAGTTCCTTTGTAAAGTGTTAAAAAAAGCCTCTCCAAACCATTTCCATTCCGTTGTGTGCAAAGGAGACTTTCAAGTAGTAACCTTACTGTATGAAGACTATTTGGAATTCCTGTATAAAATGCAATTGGAAGTTTAAACCTATTTGTCAAATAACAGATGAATGCTGTAGCTAAATGGCATTTTCAACAGAGAGCTTCCACTGGTCCAGCATTTTATCTGCTGTGTAGTTTCTCTGCAAAGGACAGAAAATATTGCTTTTGGGCCCGGTCCCTTAAGCATCCGACACGCACAGCAGGTTTGTTTTGTTTTGAATTAAGAACAGAAAATCTAAAGATACATTTATTCATCACTAAATTCATCTGCCATTTCACTCATGCAGCATGCCATTGCTTGAACCACTCCTAAGAGAAATTCCTTTATGTAGTTCGCAATGGTGCATAACTTTTGATTGCTCAAAAGTTGACTGGTACTGGAGAGATGTACACAAATCCTCTTTATGCGCCTCTTTCATACATTACCTAGGGCCTCTTCATCCTAACAGGCCCAAAAACCCCTCAGGCTCGCACATGACTATTGGAAAAATCAGAGGTCAACAGCTTTATTTGAGCTACGGTAGCAAATGCTTACCTCTTAAAGGAAGAAAACGATAGCTTCAGGCTCTGGATTTTAGCAGTACTGTTATCACTGTGATTTTAATCAGTGGAAAAGATTTTTGGGGAGCATAGGACAGAGGCAGGGATTGAGAAAGTATGGAGTCTTATTTGACTTGTGTGCCAGGCAAATAAGAAAATAGATACTTAAAGGAATGCTTAAAAAGCAGTAAATTGAAAAAATACACTTACAGTACTCAAGAATCCAAAATGTTAAGAATCTGAACTAATTAAATTTGCATTTTATGAATTCGTCCCATGTAATTTTTTATTGCAACCTTTGTCTTATACACATTTCTTTCACTCTCTTCTCTCACCCTTCTGTTCAGGGGTGAGGAAAACACTGTACAGTATAGAAAGCTGTAAGATGACGGCTGTGCATTACTGCTGGGTTAGCAATAGATTTGATTTAAAAGGCGATAGCTCCCCTAATGCCTAGCAGGTCTTCATTGTCCCCACACCTGCAGTTAAGGCCTCCTCACTTGTACTAATTCAGTGTGACTGCTCTTTAAACAGGATTTATGAAATTTTGTGGCTTCAAAATAACAACAAAAAACCACCAATAAACCAAAGGTATTCAGTTCTTAAACTGGATCTACCATTGACAGAATAGTAAAACAAATTCATGAATTAGAAAAAAAATGGTTGAGGAAGCAGAACAGTTCTAAACCCTGAGTCTGATGTGTGTAACCTACATTACCACTAAGCTCTTTTAAATATATATAACTTTCATATATATAACAAATCTCTCTCTCTCTTTTTAAAATATATATATATCTGTCTGTGTGTGTGTGTACCTATATATATTCACCATTAAGATTTCAGGAGGAATTCAGGCTGAGCACAAACAGACTATAGTCATTTAAGCGGGGAGGAAGCCAGATGTGAGGACTTGATAGATCCAGATTTGTGAAAAACTGCCAGGGGTTACTTCATTGCATAGTTAGGCAGAGCTTTGTTTGCATTCATTCCAATTTTTGTAGAGTATAAAGGAAGTCGCTCTCATGGCATCAACCTCTTTGGCTGAAGTATTTGCTCATCCTCACTCAGAGGGAGAGTGCCATCTACTGAAGCATCCTCTTTACACAGCTCCCTGGAGTCTTGTCCCACTCGTGGATTGACAAAAGTTACCCAAGCGAGCTGTAAAACCGAGCAAGGTTTTAACAGGAGGAGAAGCTGCTTTAGGTGTGAATCTCTATTGTAAAGTAACAGCTGCAGGTAAAGGACCGGGCCAAAGATGGTAAGTGACGCCACTGACTCGTGCAAGCTTACGCTCCAGTTTTATGAAGACATTAAAAACACCCTCACTCTGGGTTTCTTCATTCTTAATAAATCTTCGGAATTGAGGTTACATTATCATTTTGTAACACTTAAGAGCAGCATTCCCTGATGGGACAATCTGACTTCACTGCTGACTATTAACCATGGACTTTCCTACTCATTTCCCCTTTCTACATTAGTGCTCAGAAGATGTACAAGTATTCGGCTGACTCACTGAATAGTGAGGACATCTGCTAACAGTCAGACAGAGTTTGGCTTGGGCCAGCGATGACACAGTATTATTGTGCTGCTTTGTCTACATGAAACTTCCCGTTGCCTTCAGCCTCATACTTTACTGTAAATTTTCTGGACTGTTGCTGTATTCAAATAAAGCAGCACTTTGTGTCATGCCCAGAGCTACTCTCTCCTGTGATAATAAACACATCATAAATTAAAAATCTTTTGGCAAATTTTTTCCTTTGTAGCAAAAGATAGTGCCTCTAAAACATCAAAGGTAGGTCAGAGGTACCTACGTACCTTAGAAGTTTGAACAAACTGTATAAAAAAAATCTGAAAATTTTCAAGGTAAATTACCACATGAAGGCAGGGCATATCAAGTATTTGAAGAAGTATACCAGCTTGCGGGACAGAGGTGAAGGGAGACCTGTCAGGTTGTGTTTCATAGATGATACCCCTAGAAAACCACTGGTTTG